TGTGATAATTGGATTTGAATCAAATAATGCGTGCTAATGTTAAGTCACCATTGCCGAAAAGTTTCTTTTGACAAATTCGAGTCGAGTTTAGAATATTTTTTTTTTGCTTAACATAAGTTAGAAATCTATTTGGAAACTCTCTCAAGGAGGCATCGTCCAGCTTAATTTTTAAGGAAACTACTAGGCTATCGATTATTGGTTTTTTTTTTTTGGTGTAGATACTAAAACAAAAATAAATAAATTTTAACGAGAATCAAAAAATGTTTAACTGTTTTTAGTAATAGTTTATAATAAGGAATTTAAAATAAGAGAAACATTTCGAAAAATACCATAAATTAAATTACAAAAAAAACTTTACACTTATAAACCTCATACAACCTGCATAAAGTATAAAAATGAGAAGAACAACTCTATAAAAAAGTACAACAATGATTTTTTTCTTGTGTATAGTTTGAAAAAAGGAAAACATTTATTTGAAACATTATTTCTTACTAATTCTGTTTATAGTTCGTGTATATTTATTAGTTTGTTTGTATGTATGTCTGATACTCAGTTTTTTTACTAATAGTATTCCTTTGTTTTTTTTTTTTTTTGCTTAAATATTTAAATTAAAGTTTGCATTAATGCTGCTTTCAGTTTTACAACAACATTTAGTATAGTAAGTTCAACTTTCGTTTTTGAAGTTTAGCTCAATTAAAATGCTCTTTTAACCATTCGTGTTATTAGTGTTGTTAAACTTAATTGTAAAAATGTATCAACTATGTATGTATGTGTGTGTAATCGTGGATTTATTTACTTCTTTTGAAGTTTTTAACATTTTCAATTATTTTTATTTATTTGTTTTTTATGCAGAAAGAGACAGTGATTTAGTACTACCATACACGCACAGTAAACGATTGCTCGCGTTAAGTGTTGATAACAGCTTAATTAGCCGACACACATAATAATCAAATACACACATATATATGTGTGGGTGTTGCAACTACACAACAATAGTAAATATTTCAAGTTTGAGAGTTTTTGTAATTTTTTTTTTCTTTTAGAGCTACTTAAATTTTTATTTTTATTTTTTACGTTTTATTTGCGTGCAATGTAATTATTGTTATGCAAAAAGGCAACTACAAATCATTACAATTATTTTATAAATAATTTTTCTTGTGATTTTAATTTATTTGTTATTTTAGTATATAATATATTTTTTATTAATATATTTTCATTTTAATAATCACTACTGCTTGCGTTTTTTTATTACTGTAAATACAAAATTTTGATTCTCAATTACTACACTTTAAACGAGCTTTGCTTTACTTAAAACTCTGGCAGATTACCCAGCTTAATACACACTTGACCAAAAAGCACCTTAAAAATAATTTATATATATAATATTTGAAATACTTTTAAACAATTATCAATTTTAATTTATTTGTTTATATTTTTTTTTAATTTTTTTTAGTCGAAAACAAGAAAGTAACTAAATTTTCTTATAAAAATTTTATATAAATTGAACTCTAAAAAATTTTCTAAAATGTAATTTGAAATCTATTTCATTTTTTTACATTTGCAACCAATTTTAATTAATTTCGAAACCAGAAATTTTTTTGCTTACAGTTTTTTCAAAGTGATCTCAAAAATATTTAAAAAATAATAAATTGAAATCTATTTCGTTTTTGTGTTTTTTTTCGAATTTTGTAATAAATAAATAAATAATTAAATTTTTTTACATACAATTGAATTCTAAAATATTTTCAAAAATTTTATTACAAATCTATTTCAGTTTTTTTTTTTAATTAAATTAATTTATTCATTTGTTTTAGAAGCTGAAAAATAACTAAATTTCCTTGCCATCAAATTTTTATAAATTGAACTCTTATATATTTTGAAATCTATTTTTTTTTAAGTTTTTAAATCAATTTTAAGTAATTAATTTATATATCAATTTTAAATAATTTATTTTTTATTTATTTTTTTCAAAACCATAAAAGTTACTAAATTTCAACGCATAACTTACAAATATTTTCAAAAATTTATTTCGTAATCAATTCCGTTTTTTATAATTCTTTAATCAATTTTAAGCTATTTAATTATATTATTTCTTTTATATGTCGAAACCATAAAATAACATAAAAATAGTATAAATTAAACTGTTATAAAAAGCCAAGTGTGCACACAGCCTTATACCGTCCTTCTCTTTCCCGCTTTAACTATTCACTCCAACAGTAGTATAGTGCGCCATACAATCTCTAAATTGCTTTCTATGCAAAATATTTGTAACTGTAATTTTATTTTATCAGCTTTTCCTTCTATCACTTGATAAGCTAAATTTTATTATAATTATTTCTAGTTTCTCGCTTTTTGCTCATCTAAATTAACTTTTATATACTCCAACTTCCATATATATATCACAGTTCAAATTAAAAGAACATTATTTACTTAGTTGTTGTTGTTTTCTGTTAATATATTTTCTTATTAATCGCTTGAAAAAAAAAACTATGCATAAAAAATAAATTGCAACTCGCTTCTAGCTTGTCTACGCTCATACAAGGGCAATCAGGTGAGAGGGCTCGGCATATTTCAAGTATCATTTCATTTTATTCAGGTCTAAATATACATACATATATATTTTGTTTTTTTATATTATTTTTCAATACATTTATTTAATACATACATACATATCTAAGCTTCAACTGTAGACATAGTTTACCAAGGCAATTTCAATTATTATTCTTGTTGCTACATACTAACTACACCAATTACGTGGACCACTGTGCGAGTGCTTGTAACAGACGCAGCACTTGCTAATTAATACTAACCTAAAAAATCTTTTGAATTTTTATTTGTATTTATGGAATTTTTTTTTATTTTATTATTTGTTAAATTTCTTTTTTATATAATTTTTTTATTCTTTTTAATGCTTAAAATAAAATTTAAATTTTTTCATAAAAATCTCAAAAATATAAAAAAAAATTTGTAGGCGTAAAAAAATTAACAATACTACATAAATTTTTATAAAATATGGCTTTTAACTATTTTTATAGATTAATGCAGAAATCTCGCTTTGCGAAACTAATTTTCAAAATGGCAGCACTGTGTCTTTTTTCATTCAATTTTGAATTATTTCTTAAAGTGAGATCAAAATTTAAATTTAAAAATTAAAATGTATTACATTCAAAGTCATGCTGAACATTTCGTTATACAAAATTTGTGAAAAATTAGCAAATATAAAAATATATTTTAGTAATTAAGATATGAGAAATAAATCAAATAATTTTATTATGAATTTTATCAACTTTAAATATTTGCGACTAAATTTTTTTTTAACAGATAAAAAACGGAAGTGAATTTTTTAAACAAAATTTTTTTGTTACCACATTTATTCATTTCTACTCTCTTGCTCGTATATATTTTTTCTTTATCCCTATCGATTATTGTGTCTTCCGTTATGTCTACAGATTTTTCTTTAGAGCCATACATACTTAGGCAGAGTCTATAACGGTATCAATTCTTAATTTTTGTGTAAAATTTTAAACACCTATCTTCATCTGGTTTTCAGATACTACAAGTATATATGGATTATAGATGCTAGTAATTTATCTGGCATGCCACACCTATTTTCTTCACTATCTATTGCAATGTCTAAAATATATATCTACAACTCTTTCCGCACCGATATCTGAAGATTTGTCTATAGGTTAGTCCTAACCAGCGACTGTAACTATGCAAGATATATGTACATATGTATGTACTAGCATACTTTAGTCGATAGAGATATATATTTATATAAATTTATGCATTTGTAACGGTATTACTATCTAGTTCTGGTATAGACATGTATGTACCTATAAGTATTTCTGCACCATAAAATGGCTCTTAATGCTTGTAAGTATCGTTACTCTTTTTGTATGGTTCTTTGTATTTGTAACTGTATTTATATCTATCTATCTGAAGCTCTCCACGTACCTTTATTTGTTTTTATTTCTGTATCTATCATTGCATTCAATTATAAAACTAACTGTTTCTAAAATGCTGTATTTCCTATGTCTTCATATTTACAATTTTTATAAAGAAACTTCTCTGCCCTTCCTCTATTTCGCGAAAGCAGTGCGGCCTATTTGTCTCTTTCTATCTCTTTTCGTTCATATAATAGTTTTTCTTTACTCTGAAATTTTTTTATCGCTTTCTCCTAACGTAAAATTTCCCTCTCACTCTACAAATATTTTTCTGCACTACTTGTATTTCAATTTTTCAAACTATTTTTTTAAATCTCAATGTTCAATATAATTCAAATATTTTTTTTTTTAATGTAATATAATTTTTCAAGATCCGAATGCTGATCTTTTGTCTGTCTTATTTCCACTCGTCTTTTTTCAAAACTACTCATTCTCTAAACATTTTCGTTCATTTATAATCACTTCCTTTGCTCTCCTGCAACACTCTAGCAAAAATTTTTCTTCATTATCAGCGCTAGCAACATTTTCCCATTGTATACATGTTGCTAACGCCGTCGTTGGCGGTTAAAAACTTAAACTTCACATTAAAGCTAAGCTAATCGTATTTGTGGCTCGTGTTTTGTGAGCGTTTTCAAACATTTACATACGTAAATTATTGCTTTAAGTCCGTTAGAAACAAATCAAATACCCATTTCAGTATTATTTCAAGAACTAAAGTTATTGTACATACATTATAGTATATATAAGTATATGTAAATTATATATATATATTATGTATATGTGTATATTTATATGTACAAATAAGTAAATATGTATGTATATGTATGTGTTCGTTATTTAACATAAAAATAATTCACAAATTCAGTTTATAATACAGAAATAGGAAGTGTACATGTATTTCTATAAATGTGTGTGTTTAGGTTAACAAAGTAAATTTTAATACACAAACTAACAACACCAAATATTTTTAAACACTTTTTTTTTCTTACAAATTTCGATTAACACATTTTTAGTACACAACATGAAGTTAATTTTGTTGTTTTTGTTTTTAACTTTTTTTACAAACATTGTCATGCCATTAGAAAAAGTATTCAATCGAATAATTTCTCTATTTCATTATAAAATTCGCATGGCATTTACATACATTTTTTCTGGGTAGCCGCTTGGCAATGCGATTTCTTTGCACTTAGCAACATTTGCGGCAACATCGATTTAATAGCAACAGCAACATCAGCGCATGCAACATTGCTGTATATACGCTACATTCGCGCAACAACAATAACGCAGAGTGAGAGCGATAAGAGCGCAGGCATGCTTAGTTACGATAGCGTTTTATTTGAGTGAGTGTGAAAGAGAGCCTGTATGTTTGAGAGCGCACGCTGAGTATGTGTGCGAAAGCACGCATTTTAGCAGCAGAGAGTGAGTGTGTGTGTTTGATAGAAGCTTTAACAACCATTTAACCATTAAAGTGTTGCATATGAGAACAATAAATCAACTCAGCAATCGTAGTCTACCAGTCTAGAAAATGGAAATTATTTTTCTTTAAATAAAAGTAAAAACAGAGTAAAATGCAAATCAAAATTTGATCGTATGACATGGGAATGAGGACCAAATCGAATTTATGAGCATGAGCTGAGCGATTGAATGAGAGAAATGAAAGAGAGAGAGAGAGAAAATTGTAATGAAATTGAATTGGAAGGATGAAAGCATCGCAATAAGAAGGCAAAAATATTTAAATGAAATGAAAGCTTTAAAAAGTTGTAAAAGTTTCTCACAAATAGTGGCAGTTCTCAGTGACTTTGGAGAGGCAGTAAGTGCAATATGAAACGGTTTTGGAAAGTGAAAAGTGTCTGGCTCATATGTAGACCTGCTCTAATTTTGAGACCTACAGAGACTTTCATTCAAATATATTTTCTCAAAAGAGGTCAGCTCTCTTGACTACTAGTCCTCTTAGAGCTTAGGTCTAACATAACTAGTAAGTAAAGTAATCTCTAGAGGGAGTAACTGTCAGCTGACTAATCGTCGCATTAAACTTTTCATTCATCGAATACTAAAATATTGATGCTTTTTGAGTCTAATCCAACTTACAAATATATCATTTAAAATTTTAATCTCCGGTTTCTATTTTAAGTCTTTTTAATTAGATATGAGTTAACTCAAATCTTCGAAAGCTTCCTATGACTCATATAAGTAACTCTGCAAACATCTTCATTAGATTTCAAAATTCTTGCACCTTCAACATTACATTTAAGCTACGCATAGCAAACTATTATTTTGTCAAGGGTCCTGTCTAGAAAAGCTACCTCTCTCTAACTCAATAACGCGTACGATCATTAAGACTTCGTACCTTTTGTGTATCCAACACTGTACTACTCACTTTCCCAGCCTCTGCCTATGACAACTGATCACCGCCACTATTCCCACCGCCCTCACCTACGCCACTACCACCACTAACGCCGCCGCTGCCACCACCTTCAGCTTCACTAGTGGCAACAACCCCACTTTGGACCGCAAAGTCTCGCTCATAAACTAAGCTACCGCGTATTACGCCCTCACCACCCGACATTGAATTGCAATAGGAACGTGGGCGCACACGACCGGCGGCATCACGCCGACCACTACGTCGATTTACATGCGGCGCAGCTTCGGCATTAACTTGCACCTGTGGCTGCTGTGACTGCGCGTCAATAGCTTTAGTCTCACGACGCATCGAACCGTTTGTGGATGACACGGAGGCCAAACGATCATAACTCTTGGCGCGCACAATGCTGAAGCCTGCGTCCACTATGTAGCCGGGCGGTGCGTCACGCACTTGATCGCAAAAGTTCGCCGATGTATTTACGTGATGCGAGGCCGGCTGCGCTGGCTGATGGTGGTGGTAATTATGCGATTGTTGCTGTTGTTGTTGACGTTGACGGCGCGCAATACGCGAAGCGACCGGCGAACGCGGTACATACTGTGTGGGCATGGCGTATTTTTCGGTCACCTCCGGTGAGAGGTCCGGATATGGCGCATGACCGGAACGTGGTTGGAAAATGTGTGGACGTGGCGCAGGAGGTGGTGGAGGCGTAACCTCTGAGGGTGAAATAGGTGTGTCAAATGAGTGAGCCGGTATGGTGGGTAATGGAATGTTTGTCGGTCGTGGCGGCTGTTTGGCAACGGGGCTTATAAGGTGTGACTGATATAGCGCAGACATGGGCGGCGACGTATGTGTGGGTACCGGTGGTGGCACTGGTATGGGCTTATTGTAGGCTGGATGGAATGGTAGGCCGTTCTGTTGATAGAGAAAACGATTGGCAGGGTTCAATAGTGGCTGTGGCGAATGTTGCGACTGCGCGGTTTTCTGTAGTTGTTGTTGTTGTTGCTGGATGTGTGGTACACCCGTTGAATGCATCAGCATTTGTTGCTGCGCTTGCGGCGGCGGATAATTATAGGCAGGTTGCAGCACCGCGCCGCGCTCCAGAAGTATCTCACCACCACCACCGTTCTCCGGCAGCGGCGGTGGTGGTGCTAACTGTGAAATGCTGCGCGCAAACTGTGGCAGCGCATTATTATTTATGGTATTTGGACTAGCATTGTTGTTGTTGTTGTTGTTGTTAGGAGACATATGTGCGCCGGCGTACGAGTTCAACGACACATATGAAGGATTATTATTCTGCCCGACAAAGAGCGCGCCCGGTGTTGGCTTCTGGAAGGGCACATAAGTGACGCCATCATCGGTTTTGAAATTCTGCAGCGAAAAGTTATCATCTTCTAGGCCCTCTTCTAGGTTACGCGACAAACGCTCGTTGGACATTTGTGTATATTTGATATCGGGACGGTGAACGTTAGTCATGGAACCGCCAGTGCCAGCGCTGCTGCCATTGAGGCTCGCAGCGCCGCTGCCATTGTTAATGAAACTGCTGTAGCTCGTGGATTTGGGTGGTTTGGGTTTGGCGTGTATACGAGCAAAATGGCCGCCACCCACACCGCTGCCCATGCTACCGTTATTATTATTATTGTTCATATAGTTAGTGGGATTACTTAGGAGAATGTTATTGTTGTTGTTGTTGCCACTATGATTACTATAATTATTATTCAGGCTATTGCTGAGGCTAAACTGACTATTGCTAAGCGGACTGAGTGTGGCCTGCGATGAGGCGGACGTCATACAACCGCCGACGCCAGTGACACGTCCATAACCGCCGACACTACCACCGCCCACACTCGCACCCACACTCCTGCCACCGTCACCCATGTGACCAACACCACCGCCACCACTACGACTACCCCCCACACTACCTCCGCCGGTGCCTGTATAACCGAACCCAACACCAGGGCCGCCGTCGCCGACACCGCGCAAGCTCTGTGTCAAATTCAAATTGGAATTCTGCAGCGAAGCGTACGAGAGCGACGAGGTCGTGTTGTCGTGCGTCGAGGAGTTCGGTGTGCCAACTTGCTGTTGTTGTTGTTGATATGTTGTGCCGTTCAAGAACTGTCGTCGATTGCTGTTCGTATACAGCTGATCCGCCTTGGCGGTGCTGTCATCATAATAATGTTGCGCGCCGTTTATATTAGCGGTATGCGTTTGTGGCAACGATTGCTGACGCTGTAACATCTCTGTCGCCACCACAACGGTATTGCCGGTCGTTGCGCCGATCTTATTGCTACTCTTCGGACTGTAAAGTATTCGGGTTAATGTGCTATTTTTGCTCGCGCTATGATAGTTGCTGTTGCCATCGCCGCCACGACCTTTCTTAGAGGCGCCACCGACGCCACCGCCGCCGCCGTTGCCACCATTCTGGCTATTGCTGCGGCTGTGGCTGCGGCTGCGACTATTGCTGTGACTGTGACTCTGATTTTGACTATGACTATGGCTATGGCTGTTGTTGCTGATGCTGTTTGTGTGTATTAGAAATGTGTTACTGTTAAAATTATTTGGTTGCTGATGATGGTGGAGTTGTTGCTGCTGCAGTTGCAGTTGCTGTTGTTGCGCATGAATTTGGTGGTGATTATTATTGTTAAGTGCTTGGTGATTGTTGTGATGCTTATTTGAGAGCAATGTAGCGCTAGCGCTAGCCGAGGTCGGTATGCTGCTGTAGCTCACGTACATTGGATGGACCACCGTGTGCTGGGGACTCTTGGCGTCGCCATTCACGAAATCGACTGTAAACCAAAGATATATAATTGTTGTAGATTGGCTTGTTGTTGACATATGGAACTGTTTTGTCAGTTGCTTGTTTGATTTTATTTTTGTTTAAATTTTTTTTTTCATTAATTTTAATATTTTTCATTTTAATTTTGACATTTTTTTAATTTACAAAATTTTCATTTCTTTTTTACTAAAAAGAAAATTTTGAGTATTTAATTCGGAACTAAATATATAAATATAATTTACAAAATTATGATTTTCTCATTTGTGGGCTTGCACAAAAATAAATAAAAATTATAATTTGAAATTTTGATGATGTTTGTTAAGTTGTGTGTTTGTTTGTTCTTGTTTTCATTTTCTTTTCTTTGTTTTTGAAATGTTTGTGAATAAGTGGCAATGTGTTTGGTTATTGTAAAGTCGATATAATGATGTTTATAAATAATTTACATACATAAATAGGCACATGTAGTTATGCTTGAGGAACATTCAATAGATTTACAACATACATACATACGTACATAATTACAAATACACACATATAAACGATAAATTGGCGTTTGGGAAGTAATATCAGTTCGTAATTGTATAATTTATGCAAATGCTCGTGTCACAATTGATAAAATTATATTATATATAGTTTTTGGTTTTTATTTTTTTTTTTAATTTTATACACAAAACAATTAGTAAGATGCTTGCAAAAGAATGATGATAATGATGCTCTAAAAGATAACAGCAGTTTTTGAAAACTGAACTTAATTATGGGAAACTCTCTTTAGACTCAAAAATTCCACTAATGTACAAATTAAAGCCTTTAATAGCCCAGTGCTGTGCTCGCGAAGCCTTTTAATTTTAGTGACGTCTTTCTAGCCTCTGTCTTCAGTTGATCAAATAATGGCAAACTGTTCTAGGGTAATAGCAAATCTTTATGTGGATTTTGGGCATGGTTTTCATCCAATTTCAATACCTAACAAGAAAAAACGTTAACTTCGGTTACACCGAAGCTATAACACCCTTCACAAATACAAAGGCCCCTTACATGAACTTGATTCCGAACGTTCAATTTGTATGGCAGCTATATGATATAGTGATCTGATCTGACCAATTTCTGCGGAGAATATGAAAGAGTTTTCCATGCAAGCACTTGATTCCGATTGTTCAGTTTGTATGACAGCTATATGCTATAGTGGTCCGATATTGGTCGTTCCGACAAATGAGCAGCTTCTTTGTGAGAAAAGGGCAGGTGCAAAATTTTAGATCGATAGCTTAAAAACTGAACGACTAGTTTGTATATATACAGACAGACGGACAGACAGACAGACGGACATGGCTAAATCAACTCAGCTCATCATGCTGATCATTTATATATATATTTTATAAGGTCTCCGACGTTTCCTTCTGGGTGTTACAAACTTCGTGGCAAACTTAATATACCCTGTTCAGGGTATAAAAACATGGTTCATCCGCTTCATGCTAACATATCGACAAAGTGCCGCATTAAACCCCTGGAACAGGCGCAACGGGTATGCATTTAAAACGATATGAGCAAAGGCTCTCGAGGTAATTCTCGATATCTGGCCAATACATATGTTATTCAAGTGAAGAATGATGCAATACTTATGGCCGGCTGGCTCATAATTTAAGGCCATTGAAGCCAGACTAGGCGACACTGCGACCATGATCGACCTTGTTAACGCACTTAGACTAAATTGGTAATGCACCGACAAAGGAGATCCATGAGAAATTGAACACAACGTTTTCATTCCCCAGTAGAGAAGAATGAAGCAATGGTTCTGTGATCGACAATGGCGCAATCTACATATTCACCGATGGATCAAAGAGTGAAATAGGAACAAGAGCTGTCTTTTTTTGTAGTAATCCATACACAGAGGGTATCTTCAAACTAAATGTTGGCATAATAGAGGTAACAAGTGAGCTTCTGCTCAAATCAGCAAGTTTATAAACCTTCTATTGGACAGCCAAGCGGCGATTATGGCTATTTGTAGCGTCTATACTGTTATTAGGTAACTCGGTTAAGATCATCTGAGTACCCAGTCATTTAGAAATAAAAGGGAACGAATAGGCAGACGAATAGGCCCGCTCGGGGGCGGCTAGAAATGCCATTCCATTAAGCGGTCTTTGACCATTCAGCTCCTTCAATGGTTGTTTGAAGCAATGGGCCCTAGGGGAACACACCAGTTCTTGGAACACTAGCCACACAAAGCATACCGCAAAGTTACTTTGGGGTAGTGTGAATAGTGGACAGACCAAAAATATTCTACTTCTAGGCAAAAGTGAACGTGGTAATATTGTAGGAGCCATCACAGTACGCCTGTTCTTAAGATCCCACTTTCAAAAAATGGGAAGGCTGGCTGAGAAGGCCTTCCATTTCTCAATATTCTAACTTTAATGATATTGGGCAGTTGGAGGGTAATACATCAGTTTTTGTTTCACCAAATCCACTCAGTTACTGGTTAAGGCTTAATTTGGTTACCACCCGGCAGCAGAATTGGCCTAATGATTACCTCAGTGCACCAGCCGGCGATGTGGTGCTCCTGTGCTTCCATTTTCAACCAACCAACCAAAAAAGTAGAAAAATACTCTTTTTCAAAAGCTGAACTCTCGCTCATTCCAACAAAATTCTGAGATTTTACTTGATCACGCGTCATTAATTCGGTCCACGCACTTAAATGGAATCGGTTAGTAAGACCTCCTTTCAAATTGAACTAGTGTGTGTTTGACGGTTCTTTGTTTTTCATACAAGTGGCCGAGTAATCCCACGTTTCCCATTGATTTCCTATACTTCTTCGTCTAAGTGTGACCCCTCCGTCATGCCCAGAGATCAGCCACCTAATCTAACCTATACTTCCATAGTAAGCTCTTGAGACCCAGGAGGGGACTTCACTTCAACCCATTTTTTTTGTAAGGAACTCTTCTTCCTGATGTTTTTTACTATGTCGATAAAATATTTCTGACGTAAATCTCGAACTTTTCTCACTACTTCAACTGCTGCATTCTTCTTTGCAATCACTATACTTTAAATCAATTTAAACTCAAGGATTCACAAATAAAGTGAGCACACACTCGTTGAGTCAAACATTAGCACAGATGACATTGAGCATCGAGCAAATAACAAATGATTTCTTCTATTTTTCAATAAAAATATAAACACAATTTATGTACGCTCAGCACATGATAACGGTTGGCATACAGATGATGAATTGTAAATACATACATATATACAACGAAAAAGCAACAAAACAACAGATCTGAATGCATCTCTGTGGTTTTTTGTTGCAGAAAGATGAATAAGTTTCAAATTAAAGTGAAAAGTTGGAAATGTAAGCAAACAAAAAATGATGATAGAGAGACAAAGGGCGAACAGAGAGAAAGTGAAAGTGAATATAAATTTGATGTGGCACGCAAACAAAGCATACCGACTTAACTTTTGATACAGATGAAGGGATATAGTATACACAGTATAAATATTTTTTCCAAATAAAAAGTTGACTAAGGTTATGTGTTGCAGCTTAAATAAAACATTAGTGAAATTGTGGTCGGATTAGTAGCGCATGCGTTACATATATACATATTTATATAGAATTTTCTTAATGTGGCGCTTATAGAATAGCTTAGTACGAGGGTGAATTAATTACTTGATGCAGCAGGATAACTTAAAGCTTTAATCAAATTTTATGTTGATAATTTACACTAACACCAAAAAAAAAAATATTACAAATGCATTTTTTACATTTTGATTGAAAAACATTTAGTCCGGACAGAAAGTAACTTTTTTTTTTTTGAAATAGTACCATTAATCTGTAATTAAAGGTTACAAACGTAATTGTAAATAATAAACTGAAGTCCATTAAGAGCACTACAAAAACTAAAATAATTAATTTCTAAAATTTTTTTTAATATTTAATCATAAATTTAAAATTTTAATATACAAAAAGTCTTTTTTTAAACCTAAAAAAAATTTCAAAAAATTATTTATTGTAAGAATTAATTATTTTAAATAAGGATTAAAAATCGTAAAAACAAGTTATTTTCCAAAACGGTTTACAATTTCCAATCAACAATTTACGAAATTTTAACATACATATAATATATATAAAACTTATTAGTTTTAATTAATAACAAAATATTTTTATTTAAAAAAATACAGAATCTTTAAAATCATAAAAAAAAATTAAAATAGTGAAAAAAAGTTATTCTCCTAAAAGTAGTTATCCTTAAACAATTTAAAAAAAAATATATATATTAGTTGTAAAAATTCTTGTTTTTTTTTTATTTAAGGATCAAATTTGTAACAAATGTAATTAAATAATAAAAAAAAAATATTTTTTTTTAAAACAATCTTTATAATAATAAAAACAATATTTTTTTAAAAAGATAATCTTTATAATAATAAAAAAATCAAAACAGGGAAAAATATATTTTCCAAAAAGTATTTTTCTTTAAACAATTTAAAAAATTAAATAACAATATTAATTTGAAAAATTATTTCTTTTAACTAAGGAATAAACTTTAATCATCCTGTGAAAAGTAAGTAATTAAATAAAGAAAAATATGTATATTCTTCTTAAAAAAATCTTTAAAATAAAAAAATTATTAAAAACACTGAAAAAAATATTCCAAAAAATATTATATATTACAAGAAATATTTTTTTCTTTCAACCATTTAAATAATATAAAAAATATATATTGCAAAAATTATTAATTTTATTTAAGGAACAAATTTTAATTAATTTTGGAATGAATGTAATTAATTTTTTTCCAAACAATTCTTTTTTTCCTTAAAAGATTAAAAAAAATTTAAAAACTAATAATTTTAATATTAACATTTATTATCTTAATTCATTTTTTCAATAAATGAAATAAAATTATAAAGAAATACTTTTATTAAAAAGCAGAATTGTCAAAAATAAATTCAAAATAGTGAAAAAAATATTTTCCTAATTATTTATATTTTTTTAAAATAAAATTTAAAGTTTAAAGTAACTTTTTTAATATG